TATATAAATCAAATTTTCCAGGCCGACCCATGAACCGGCGCGGATAGGCCTGGAATCAGATAGAACCGGAGGGCCGACCCGGCCCGCATAACCGTGCATATTACGGGCCAGTTTCGAAAAAATTGAACCGTGAACCGGTATGAACCGGCCCATTTAAGTGTATCAACGTGTAATAATTTATGAAAACTAAAAAATCTCTACATTTATTAAATCGCATTGGGAAGTAGAAACTAAATTACTTTACCAATATCCTTTAATTAGCCATTAAATAATTCTTTCAAGTATATTTTTTTTTATTTAATTTCTCTTTTTTGGCCATTTTTTCCTTTTCGATTTTCTTGAAATAAAATTTTATTTAGCACATTTTATTATATCATATATCAATTTAAGGTGATTTATATATATATATATATATATATATATATGTATATATATATATATATATATATATATATATATATATATATATATATATATATATAATTTATTGTATTTAAATTAACAAATAATGTTATATCTTTTTCTTGTTAAAAACTTAAATGGGCCTATGAAGGCCCAATCGAAACTGCTTTGTCCAAACTAATGAACTAAATTGGGCCAACCTTTGAGATTTGGGTTTTTCAAAGCCAAATTGGGCCAGTCTTTTTAGTTTTTATTTCCTTTTGAATTTTTCGGCCTTCCAAAGACTAATTGGGCATATCAACTGAGTACACGATTTATTTTTATGTATAGTAGAACCTCGATATATTAATAATTTATCTTTAATAATAATTTTTTTTCCATTCCGACTCAGTAAAAATGTATTGTTAGTTCGATAATTTAATAGAATTTTGTTAATCCCAAATGTATTAATTTATTGTGGTTTAAGTTTAAAAAATAGGTGATTTGGAATGCCAGAATATCATTAATTTTGATATTATGTTGTTAGTGTTACTAGCAAAGTATAACTTATAATTGTAAGAACGAAATATATTCAAATAAAAAAAATGAAAAATCTATTAATAATTAAAAAAATCAAAGAAACCAATAAAAATATTCATTCGATGTGGAAATAAGATGTTTTTCTTTTCTTTGAAAAACAATCCAATATGAAATGAAAAATAGCAAGTGATTGCAATAATATAAAAGCCGAAAGATCAAATATATGACATAAAAAGATACAACATATAGTAATGCTTTATGTAACCAAAGTTGACCTAACCTAACCAAATATTTGTCCGTAACTTCATAATAAGTCATATTATTTAATTTTTATATTAAATATCATTTCTCAATTGAACAATTGACTTCAAATGATTTTTTTTTAACTAAAAACGCACAAAATTCGTACTAATTTACAATAATCTTAAAAGTGCATAATAAACCGTCTTTCTTTCTATAGATAATTAATAGAATAATAATTTCACAAGACAATAACATAAGACTCAAATTAGGATATTTATGTATTGCAATTCTTGAACAACATATGAAATGAATCCACTACTAGCAATAAATATTATTTACAAGTGCAATTAAATATCATTTGCCATTGCAATTAATTGTGTTTTATTGTGGTTTTGCACAAATAATTGATGAGAGTAATTAAATGTAACAGTATTGTAACTAATTTAAATTAGTTAAACACTTTGAAATTTGAATATATAAATATTATATCAATACAACAATATCAAACATAGTGCAAAGAGAAAAGGAAAATGTCGAAAATTGATCCCACGCGTGCAAATCAACAATAAACAACAATTAATGACAAAAAAAAATCCAGGTTTTTAAGGTTTATTTCATAATTTTTTTTATGAATTATAAGAATTTAAGCTTGTTTCATGGAGAAGATGAAACCATCAAAAAGATGTAACATTTTGATTCTTGTAGAGAACAAGAAGATGAAGAAAATTAAATAAATTGATGTTAGTTTGTTGGAGTTGTAATATGATATTTAATGCATTTGGACTTTGATTATAACAATTAAATGTAGAGAGAGAAACTAAATAAATTTAAATTCAAATATTATAGTTTGAGGGTAAATTAGTAAATAACCTTTATTATTTTCCTCATAATTACGTAAAAGCCATTTTCTGGCCAAGTATCATTACCGTACTTTGAATATATAAATATTTAATCAATACAACAGTATCAAACACAGTGCAAAGTGAAAAGGAAAATGTCGAAAATTGATCCCAAGCGTGCAAATCAAGTGCATATTTCCGATAAATATAAATGAACCTATGCATGGCAAATTAATTATGTTTAGATTGAATAATTGGTTATGTTTGTATCCTTAGAACTTGTTTAATCAAAATAAATTTACATGTGACGAAGAAATATATTGTTAAGATGAATTGGAGCGTCAATAATAAAAAAAAATTCAGTACGACAATTTGGTAACATGTATTTCAATAATAGATCCGAGATGACAAGGTCCAACAAAGGGTAAACTCTAATAATTTGTATCTCATCAAGGAGTCCAATGATTCATTGAGATAGTGAGGGCACGACTGACTTTAATTATAAAAAAAATAATGAAATATGGGAAAAGTGCGTGCAAAGTGCGTGTGTTAAGGCCGGAGGTTCGACTTACGAGGTCGAGGCCGGTAGAAGAGACGGTAGACTTTCCAGTGCAATTTTGGCATTGCACATGCCGGAATTTCACAATTCCGTCGACACGCTCCGATTAAAGTTCTTCGAGAAAGGACTCACCGAAGCCGATCTCGTCTTGCTGAGTGGTAAGTCTATTAATAATATATAATTTTAATAGCATATTAGCTTGGTTTATTCGAGTCACTTTTCGATAAAATCTAATATAAAGGGTTTTTTTTCTATCAGGGGAAACACATACGATCGGTACTACAACATGTTTTTTCGTCAGAGACAGATTGTACGCCTTCATGGGTGCAAATACATCTGACCCCGCAATTAGCCCCGCTCTGCTACCATCACTGGAGCGCCAATGCCCAAAAGACGGAAGTCCACTAGATCGAATACTACTTCTCGATCAAGTGACCGGAGATAGTTTTGACGTCCAAAGCTTGATTAACATCAAGAACGGTTTCTCCGTCCTGCCCTCAGATTCGATACTATACGAAAACAACATCACCAAATCCGTTGTGGATTTCTACAGTGTCCCCGAATCCGCATTTGCAGGGGATTTTGTTGTGGAAGTTCAATTTGTTATGAATGTTTGAAAACAAGTAAATTATTATTACAATTTCACACAATTAGTCCATAAATAACACTCTAACATTTAATTTGGGTTTCTATCGATTAACCATATAAAGAAAGACGATAAATTATGCACTTTCAAGATTATTTAGAAATCGCCTCTATAAAAAGAATGATAAAAAAACAATTGTTAGAAATTTTACACGTGCTTTGCACGCACTTTGCACATATTTCATTATTTTTATAGAAATTGTGCCCTCACTATCTCAATGAATCATTGAACTCCTTGATGAGATACAAATTATTAGAGGTTACCTTAGTTGAAGCTTGTCATCTTAGATCTAATACTGAAATAAATGGTACCAAATTGTCATAGTTAAAAAAAGTTTTTATTATAGTCTTTCGGCCGTTATTTGCAATTTTTTTAATTCACCCCCTGTAACACCCCGTAAATTATGCGAGAGTTTATTGTACTTTATAATGAGAATTGGGGGCTGATGTGTTATTATGTAATAATTTTGGGGCATAAGCATAATAATAATTCTATAATTTAGTAACTTGGCCATTAAGCAATTGAGGGGCTTGTGTAATCGGATAATTGAATGTTATTAACCAAGAAAATTAGAGAGAGAGACACGTAGAATAAAAGAGGAGTCAGACTTCCTCTTCATCTTCATCCGATTCTTCCTACACTTCACTCCTCTTCTCCAAACTCCTTTCTCTCTCTCGCTCTCTCTCATCATCTCTCTCTTTCTCTCTCGCCCGCTCTCTCTTCCTCTCTCTCTCGATCCTTGGCTGAAATCATGGAAGTTAATTGAAGAAAAAAAAGTCGGATTTATAGTGGTGGTGGTCTCCAGCAGCAGTCGCCGGCGGTGGTGGCTGGAATCCGACAAAGAAGACGAGCTGTCCAGAATTTCAATTTCAGAGTTTTGCCTTTTCCGTAAATCAATTAAACGGAGGTCTTAAAGATGGAGCATCGATGATCCGAAGAATTGGCTAGAACTTCAGCTCGCTCGTTGAAACGAAGGGAAGCAAATTCTGCTGCCGCACCTGTTTTCGGAGCCGAAATCGAAGGGTTTCGAATGCGTATTTGGAATCGGTTCCTTCAGGAAACTCGTAGAGGACATCGTAAACTATAAGTGTTGAGCGTAGTAAAGCTCTGAATCAAGGTTTAAGCTTAAAGATGCTTCTATAGCACTTCTATAGCACTAGCGTTGGACTCCAGGTGAGAAACTATGACTCCTTATCCAATTTCTTTCCTGCGCATAATATCTCCTTTCTTTGAACCGAATATTTTGTACATATTGAAGCCTTCGATACCTTCATTATATTTGTTCTTGAAATATGATCCTTAATGTTTTGCGAGCATATTGTTTTCTTGGCTCGAACTTGGAACCTTGATCTTGTTCTTGAAATCTTGAACTTGTCAATTCTCTTGGTTGCTATGTTCACGGCTAATTCCTATACTTGATTCCTTGGCGTGAACATTTTCCTTGAATCGATATTGAACTATATTTATTCTCAAATCTTGTCTTGAATGCCTTTCGAGAATAAATATTTTGTTGGCTCGAACTTGAATCTCATGTTTATTGAATATATCGAGATCTTGAGATACTCGTTCTTGGAACCTGACATGGAATTTATTGTTCTTCTGAATTCCATATTCACGACAATTCTTCATTGGCTTGATTTGAAATCTGAACATGTTCATTATCCTGAGATTTGATGTTCGATTATCGTGATCATGACTTATCTTGTGAATGATTGACTTGATTCTTGAAATGAATGACTTGATATTCCTAAAAGGAATGATATTGATTCTTGAACCTACTGTCCCCACCCTTGAGGACGCTCTTGGGGGAGCTGGGCCCTAGGACCATTTCGGCAAGACGATCGGGCAGTATTGGGCTGACGATGACTGGTCTCCCGAATGGTACCTCCTGATGGTTCGGACTCACGTTCGTTTGGAGTTAAACGTTCCTGAGCCGGATCGGCACGTTCCGGTCGTGCCTCTTGCCTGTTTCCGACCGAGTGGCCACTCGGGACGGAGTGGAGGGACAAGGATGTGATATGATTTTATTTGTTGGGAGTTACAAGGTTGGAGACCCCACCAAATATTGAACTCAAGCCGTACATGTTACACTCTTGTACATGTTACACTCTTGTACATGTTACACTTATGTTAATGAAATTCTTGTTAAGTCTCTCGTTATATGTTCTGTTCTTTTGATTCTCATCATACTCATGGATCATATGTTTTTCACTAAGTCATTCGGACTTATTCGTTTCTCCTTTCTGATATTAATGCGAAGGTAAAAGAAAGACTTAGATCTAAATTTTCATACTAAGAGTTAAAGCTCGTGTATGCCTCCGATTAGTCTCGTCGAGAGGCATCTCTATTTATGTTCCGTATAGGAATCCTTTGATCGAGAATTTTGTAATAGAGTAAGTGGTGTCGAAGTCGACTTGTAATAGAACCTCCTTTTGTAAACACGATGGGATAGATATTGGGGGTTTAATATTTTGATCGTCGAAATTTTGAGGAGCATATTTGGGGTCATTGAATGTACTGCATGTTGAGTGGTGTCCCGCCACGAGGTGCCCGCTACTCGGGGCGGGGCGCTACAGGTGGTATCAGAGCTTTGGGTTGGTAGAGCTTTCGGTCGGTAGAGCTTTGGGTTGGTAGAGCTTTCGGTCGGTAGAGCTTTGGGTTGGTAAAGCTTTGGGTTGGGTTTGGGTTGGATGCCCGGGCGATGATGAAAAGGGATCTTTGAGAATTGTAAAGATATGCATTGAATCTTGGGAAATTGAGAAGATTGGTAGTAATCGAGTATTAGAGGCGTTGAGATAATACTTTAGCGTCTATTACTGATATAGATAGTGAAGAATAGCCCGTACAAATATCTATCATACACGACCTGAGACGCAGTTTGAGATTCTTGGTTCTTTTGGTTACTTCAGTTGGCTTCCAATTCTCCGATGTTGTTTATCTCGAGTGATTTTCCTAGTTTCACTTGAATTTGGTAACACCTTTTCTTGTAGACGTCCCATTCCATTTTACTTCATAACTTGACTTCCTTACCGAAACCATATTATCTCAGTTTGAATATTGAATTACGGTGAACCAAATATTCGGGAGTTCTTTTGTTCACTCCTTATCATTCTAATGAATTCAATTTGGATTCGTTGGCCTATATTGTCTAATTTCATTTGTTGATCGAAATCGATTCTCTTATCTCATTTTAATACCTCATAGTCTTAGTTACCAATTTTATGAGGTTTCGTACCCCTTCAAATTCCGCCTGGCTTGGATTATCTTTTTTTTGAAGCCCTTACCTTATTGTGCTACCATCTCCATCTTCTATCCTTTGTAAATATTCTATGGTTTCGGCTTATCTATTTGCCGAGACTTCTTATTCAGTTCACATCATCCTTAGTGATCCAATTATTATGAATACGTCATGACTTTGGTCATGTTCTTGTGAGGCTTCTTTCTTTATTCTATTACCATCTGCTTTGATCATCTACCTGATTGTGAGGTTTTGTATCTCTTTGAACACTCTATAGTTTCGGCTAATCTATTTGTCGATACTTTTTATTTCCTTGAATATTGCTTTAATTACTCAATCTATACCACTCCATTTTCAGTGTTCCAATTTCCTTGAATAGCTCGTGATTTTGGCCACGTACCTTTGAGGTCCCTATTCTCGTTTCATTTGGCTATACCATTGTTATTATTTTAATGTCGGGTGAATCTTTCTACCTATTTTGAGGTTTTTGTTCTTTTGGCCTCAAAATTCAATTCTTGTACATATATTGTTCCATTGTTATTATTGATCACAATGGAAATCTCGTATCTCATTTCAAAACTCCTTATCTCATTTCAATACTTCGGCATCTCGGTTACCCACCTTTTCAGGTATCTGATTCTTTGTATACAATATTGTTTGACTATCTTACTTCCTTCGCACTATTGATCATGAGTGAGGTATTTGATCTCGTTTGAATGCCTCGATTTCCTTGTTCCGTTCTTTTTTGAGATTCCTCATCTCATTTAATACTTCTCGATTTGGATATCCTATTATGTGAGGTTTCTTATCCCTTTGAAACCTTGTGATTCGACTTCTGTATGTCGCTTCTATTTGTTCCCTCTCACTCATAGACCATGATTATTGTTAATTCAGGGTAAACGTATGGACCTTGTATGGGTAATGTCGTGTCATATGACTACGGTTGTATGCATCTATTGTTATATCATCTTATGGATCTTACTCAACGGAAAAAGGTTATGTAGTTATCACGACTTAGAAATTTTATAGAGTTTGTTGACTCTTAAGGTATCTTGAGCGGTTTAAATCTGAGGTAGTACTAGGAAGTACTGCTTGTGGAACTTTAATACTCGACTTCATTAGAAATATTATCCAATTCATCGGTCTCATACTCGATGTAGCCTTACCGTTGAGCAAGATGCTGAATATTTATAGCGTTCTAGAAGTTGAAGGCCGAGATACGGTTCATCAACCAATTAATGGGACTTGTGAGGTACGTCAACTTGTAAGAAACAATCTAGTTAGGGTTGTAGCTAGGAGTGCTATAAATGTTCTGATGAGAGGAATGAAAGGGATTAATAAGGGTCTGATATCGTTCGAATCCTTAAATCTTTCCCTACTTATCCGTGTCATATTCTTCAAGAGAACGTGTTTCTTCTCCTCCGTTTCGCTCGAACCTTTGTGGTAATTAGAATTACATATCTACTTCCACATCTCCATAACTCTTTTGACAATCTCGTGTAGGCTTTGATCTTTATTTGATAAGTCGAACTTCACCGATAGCACCTGATATCAATCTCCAAGCCATTACGTTTGCCGTCGTTAGTTATTCGTCGTTCATCTATCTTGAAACGCAAGCTCGATTGATACTTCATTCCACGAACTACTGCGAAGCTGTTTGTATTGTCGCTTGCTTGATAGTTGTCCCAAGTCATCACGATAATTCACGTTGTACGTTCACAAGGTTCCTTGAATGTTTTCAGTCATCCACTCACACGAGAGTTAGTTTTGAGAACGTTTCTCGTACCGAGCTGAAATTTTGTCCTATGTTGCAGATAGTTGCTTTCATAAGAACGAGATGACTTATAATCTATATCGAGACAATGTGAGTTAGCTACAAGAGATAGATTTCGGATCTACATTATCTTCAGCAGACAAAGAGGCAACTACTTTCCCGGTCCACAAAAATTCTCTATTCATTGGTCTACATAAAGTGGAATTGAATGCACCACAATTGCAATCAAAGAGGACGACGAAGCCTGATTTACTTATTGTATCAACATTGGACACTAGAAGGGCTTGATTATAGATGGCGTTCGCAAGGAAAAGGTTTCCGAATAGTAGATCGACCAGGCAACGGTTGATGGAAGAGAGCTTTACTTCTAAAATCAAGAGTAATAAAAAATGGCAACGGTTGATACAATCTTCCCGTGGTTTCGCAACCGCATGCCTAATAAATACTTATCGTAGAGAACATAATATCCGACAATTGAGTAGCCTTAATTCATTCAACTCACCACTATTTCAACATAGGTCAACTTGTCTAATGTCATTCTTCGACACTAAGCACGCTTTAATCATGTACGGAACATTATATACATTATGTCTATTAATGTCGATGGTGAATTACTTCAACCAAACTACATGACGGCAAAACTTATTTATAGCAAGTTGCTCATGCATGCCGAATTCTTGCAGTTGTCGTTCCCATCTTACAAGGAAAGGTGGAACTCTCTACGGTGATTGACATAGGTGTTGTACATTAAACACCTTCTCCACATAGCACTTAGCTCTTGATATTAACCAAATAGAATTGCAAAAACTGATAATCCAATGTCAAGATATAGCTGACTTATCGGATACTAAGGACTCTAGAGGTGGCTCATGCAAGATTAAGAGGTGGCTCCCATTGGGTAGCACTTTGCCCTGCATAGCACTTAGCTCCTTGTACCCTGACCTGTAGCGCCCCGCCCCGAGTAGCAGGCACCTCGTGGCGGAACACCACTCAACATGCAGTACATTCAATGACCCCAAATATGCTCCTCAAAATTTCGATGATCAGAACATTAAACCCCCAAGATCTATACCATCGTGTTTACAAAAGGAGGTTCTATTACAAGTCGACTTCGACACCACTTACTCTATTACAAAATTCTCGATCAAAGGATTCCTATACGGAACATAAATAGAGATACCTCTCGACGAGACTAATCGGAGGCATACACGAGCTTTAACTTTTAGTATGAAAATTTAGGTCTAAGTCTTTCTTTTACCTGCGCATTAATATCAGAAAGGAGAAACGAATAAGTCCGAATGACTTAGTGAAAAACATATGATCCATGAGTATGATGAGAATCAACAGAACAGAACATATAACGAGAGACTTTACAGAATTTCATTAACAGAAGTGTAACATGTACAAGAGTGTAACATGCACGGCTTGAGTTCAATATTTGGTGGGGTCTCCAACCTTGTAACTCCCAACAAATAAAATCATATCACATCCTTATCCCTCCAATCCGTCCCGAGTGGCCACTCGGTCGGAAACAGGCAGGAGGCACGACCGGAACGTGCCGATCCGGCTCAGGAACGTTTAACTCCAAACGAACGTGAGTCCGAACCATCAGGAGGTACCATTCGGGAGACCAGTCATCGTCAGCCCAATACTGCCCGATCGTCTTGCCGAAATGGTCCTAGGGCCCAGCTCCCCCAAGAGCGTCCTCAAGGGTGGGGACAGTAGGTTCAAGAATCAATATTATTCCTTTTAGGAATATCAAGTCATTCATTTCAAGAATCAAGTCATTCATTCACAAGATAAGTCATGATCACGATAATCGAACATCAAGTCTCAGGATAATGAACATGTTCAAGAATTCAGTTCAAGCCAAGGAGAGAATATTCGTGAATATGAGAGTCAAGAAGAACCATAAGTTCAATATCGGATTCCAAGAACGAGTATATCAATATCTCAATGAATTCAATAAACATGAGATTCAAGTTCGAGCCAACAAAATATTTATTCTCGGAAGGCATTCAAGACAAGATTTTGAGAATAAATATAGTTCAATATCGATTCAAGGAAAATGTTCAGGCCAATGAATCAAGTATAGGAATTAGCCGTGAACATAGCAACCAAGAGAATTGAAAGGTTCAAGATGTCAAGGACAAGATCATGGTTCCAAGTTCGAGCCAAGAAAACAATATGCTCGCAGAACATTAAGGATCATATTTCAAGAACAAATATAATCAAGGTATCGAAGGCTTCAATATATACAAAATATTCGGTTCAAACAAAGGAGATATTATGCGCAGGAAAGAAATTGGATAAGGAGTCATAGTTTCTCACCTGGAGTCCAATGCTAGTTCTATAGGTGCATCTTTAAGCTTAAACCTTGAGTGAGAGCTTTAGTACGCTCGACACCTATAAACATATTCATCACTTAACAAGATTCCAAATGCTAATATAATCGTATTATTCTACTATATCACATAGTCAATTTCTTAAACATATACTAAGAATTGCTTCTCGCGACAATTTATTCAAATAATCACTGCGGTCGTCGTACTTATCCGAATGACCTAAATGATATATATAGTTAAAGATAACATTTGTATCTACAAGTTTACTGAAGACACTAATCCCAAATTAACAACATAACCCGTCCATAACAACCCCGAAAGATGAATACATAAACCTGCCAGATTTTCGGATAATTTCGTTTGCTGTCACAGTTTCGTTGGAAAATCATAACAAATCGTACAGTTATCCAAATTGTCCAAATAATACATCAAATGAAACCTTACAACTTAATCTACAAGTTTCATGAAGGCACAGAGCCCAAATTATGATCCCAACATATCGAAAACAGTCCCGCAAGAAGATACTCAAAACTGCCCTGTTTCCGGCAGATTACTGTCATCGGATTCCGACCTCTAAAACACGTATTTTAAATACACTAATTCGATACGATTGAACACTTACTTATAGTTTACGATGTCCTCTACGAGTTTCCTGAAGGAACCGATTCGAAATTCGCATTCGAAACCCTTCGATTTCGGCTCCGAAAACAGGTGCGGCAGCAGAATTTGCTTCCCTTCGTTTCAACGAGCGAGCTGAAGTTCTAGCCAATTCCGATGACCACCGCTGATGTAAACAATCAAGAACCACCACCACTGGAAATCTAACTTATTAAGGTTTCGAACGGTACCTTCGGATCATCGATGCTCCATCTTTAAGACCTCCGTTTAATTGATTTACGGAAAAGGCAAAACTCTGAAATTGAAATTCTGGACAGCTCGTCTTCTTTGTCGGATTCCAGCCACCACCGCCGGCGACTGCTGCTGGAGACCACCACCACTATAAATCCGACTTTTTTTTCTTCAATTAACTTCCATGATTTCAGCCAAGGATCGAGAGAGAGAGGAAGAGAGAGCGGGCGAGAGAGAAAGAGAGAGATGATGAGAGAGAGCGAGAGAGAGAAAGGAGTTTGGAGAAGAGGAGTGAAGTGTAGGAAGAATCGGATGAAGATGAAGAGGAAGTCTGACTCATCTTTTATTCTACGTGTCTCTCTCTCTAATTTTCTTGGTTAATAACATTCAATTATCCGATTACACAAGCCCCTCAATTGCTTAATGGCCAAGTTACTAAATTATAGAATTATTATTATGCTTATGCCCCAAAATTATTACATAATAACACATCAGTCCCCAATTCTCATTATAAAGTACAATAAACCCTCGCATAATTTACGGGGTGTATGATACCACCTGTAGCGCCCCGCCCCGAGTAGCAGGCACCTCGTGGCGGAACACCACTCAACATGCAGTACATTCAATGATCCCAAATATGCTCCTCAAAATTGCGATGATCAAAACATTAAACCCGCAATCTATACTATCGTGTTTACAAAAGGAGGTTCTATTACAAGTCGACTTCGACACCACTTACTCTATTACAAAATTCTCGATCAAAGGATTCCTATACGGAACATAAATAGAGATACCTCTCGACGAGACTAATCGGAGGCATACACGAGCTTTAACTCTTAGTATGAAAATTTAGGTATAAGTCTTTCTTTTACCTGCGCATTAATATCAGAAAGGAGAAACGAATAAGTCCGAATGACTTAGTGAAAAACATATGATCCATGAGTATGATGAGAATCAACAGAACAGAACATATAACGAGAGACTTTACAAGAATTCCATTAACAGAAGTGTAACATGTACAAGAGTGTAACATGTACGGCTCAAGTTCAATATTTGGTGGGGTCTCCAACCTTGTAACTCCCAACAAGTAAAATCATATCACATCCTTATCCCTCCACTCCGTCCCGAGTGGCCACTCGGTCGGAAACAAGCAAGAGGCACGACCGGAACGTGCCGATTCGGCTCAGGAACATTTAACTCCAAACGAACGTGAGTCCGAACCATCAGGAGGTACCATTCGGGAGACCAGTCATCGTCAGCCCAATACTGCCCGATCGTCTTGCCGAAATGGTCCTAGGGCCCAGCTCCCCCAAGAGCGTCCTCAAGGGTGGGGACAGTAGGTTCAAGAATCAATATCATTCCTTTTAGGAATATCAAGTCATTCATTTCAAGAATCAAGTCAATCATTCACAAGATAAGTCACGATCACGATAATTGAATATCAAGTCTCAGGATAATGAACATGTTCAGATTTCAATTCAAGCCAATGAAAGAATTGTTGTGAATATGGAATTCAAGAACAACAATAAGTTCCATATCAGGTTCCAAGAACGAGTATATCAAGATCTCGATATATTCAATAAACATGAGATTCAAGTTCGAGCCAACAAAATATTTATTCTCGGAAGGCATTCAAGACAAGATTTTGAGAATAAATATTATTCAATATCGATTCAAGGAAAATGTTCAGGCCAGGGAATCAAGTATAGGAATTAGCCGTGAACATAGCAACCAAGAGAATTGACAAGTTCAAGATTTAAAGAACAAGATCAAGGTTCCAAGTTCGAGCCAAGAAAACAGTATGCTCGCAAAACATTAAGGATCATATTTCAAGAACAAATATAATCAAGGTATCGAAGGCTTCAATATATACAAAATATTCGGTTCAAACAAAGGAGATATTAAGCGCAGGAAAGAAATCGGATAAGGAGTCATAGTTTCTCACCTGGAGTCCAACGCTAGTGCTATAGAAGTGCTATAGAAGCATCTTTAAGCTTAAACCTTGAGTCAGAGCTTTACTACGCTCAACACCTATGCAAATATTAGAACTAAATAAGATTCCAAACAGTAATATAGCCATATTACCATCCACTATATGACATAGTCAATTTCTTAAACATATACTAAGAATTGCTTCTCGTGGCACTCTATTCAAATAATCACTGCGATCGTCGTACTTATCCAAAGGACCTAAACGATATATATAGTTAAAGATAACATTTGTATCAACAAGTTTACTAAAGACACTAATCCCAAATTAACAACATAACCCGTCCATAACAACCCCGAAAGATGAACACATAAACCTGCCAGATTTTCGGATAATTTCGTTTACTGCCACAGCCCGTTTGAAAAATCATAACAAATTGTAAAGTTATCCAAATTGTCCAAATAATACATCAAATGAAACCTGACAACTTAATCTACAAGTTTCATGAAGACGCACAGCCCAAATTATGATCCCAACATATCGAAAACAGTCCCGCAAGAAGATACTCAAAACTGCCCTGTTTCCGGCAGATTACTGTCATCGGATTCGGACCTCTAAAACATGCATATTACATACTCTAATTCGATACAATTGAAAACTTACTTATAGTTTACGATGTCCTCTACGAGTTTCCTGAAGGAACCGATTCCAAATTCGCATTCGAAACCCTTCGATTTCGGCTCCGAAAACAGGTGCGGCAGCAGGTTTTGCTTCCCCAAAATCGCAGCGAGCAGGCTGACTTCTCACCAAACTCCGGCGACCAACGTCGGTGCAAGCCATCGAGCTTCGCCACCAACAGAAAGGTAACATCGTGAGGTTTCTAATGATGGGACCTGATCGTCGAGATTCTACCCTTAAGACCTCCGTTCAATTAATTCTTTGAACGACCAACCGCTGAAATTCGGGTTCTGGACTGCTCGTCTTCTTCGCCCGATTCCAGCCACCACCGCGCGTCATCGTCGGTGAAATCCATCACCACAAGGAAGCTGCGTCTCGAGATTTCCAACGGCACCTCCCAATCAACGGAATTAAATCTCTAAGGGTGTCAGACCTAAACTTGGTTACACCAAACCCTCACTTGGAAACTTGATAATTCCGATTAATTTAGGTGATTCCAGCCAAGACTCCGCTAGAGAGAATGGCGGAGATAGAGAAAACGTGAGCAAGAGAGAGAGAGAGAAGAGAGGAAGATAGAGAGAAAGAGAGAGACGGTGAGGTAGATAGAGAGAAAGAGAGACGGTGAGAGGGTGAGCTGGGGAGGAGAAAAGAAGAAACGTGGCTGCCGAAGGAGCATTGTGAATTGACGATATACACGTCAATTCCTATCTCAAATATAAATTCTGAAAATTGGCTATAAGGCCAAATTGTTTTCTTAATTACGAAATAGATGCCATAACTTTAGATAATTACAATTCTACACTTCCCATCAAATTCGAAATATATTATAATTCCATATCGACACATATCGACTAAATAAATTCAATTATCCCCAGACTTAAACAACTTACATATTTACGGGGTGTTACACTCTTCCCTCCTTAAAAGAATCTGACCCCCAGATTCTCAACTATAATTCGAACATGGAAATACAATTTCCTAAAATTCTTTTCGTGCTCATCGGTCGCTTCTTCAACGTGGTGGTTTCTCCATAACACTTTCAAATCTTGTGATTGAAGAATTCATTATCATGATAGATATCACTTGTGCGTATAGTCTCTAGCAAGTATAGAAGTTGGTGCCGACAATAGGAACCGATTTCTATTCATGTGATAATTTATCTTCAAGCCATGTCACTTCAATGAATAACATTCGAAATCGATCAAAATGGTGTTAGCTTAGTCGGTATACCTAAAACATATCATAAATTGTTTCCTTAACGATCTAATATGTTCCAAACTTGGTATTGACTCAAGTAACGAGTCAAACTACTATCGAAATGAATTCGAAATTACTTATTCAATTCAAATCTGAGGTAGTACTAGGAAGTACTGCTTGTGGAACCTTAATTCATTCAATTCACTAGATCATCGTAGAATAATAATCGGATAAATTCACTAGATAATATTTCTTTGAAGGCCTAACTGCTGAAATTCGAATTATAAGTGACAACTTGTCTTCTTCGCCGGATTCCGGCTGCTGGAAATAGAACACCATCTCAGCCCCGTATCTTTCAACCATGTTGCTATTTTAAGATTTCTAGATTTACTAATTTAAAAATCAGAAGAACAAAGGTTCTAAAGGGGTGCTCGGCCGTGAGTTTTCATGGAGAAAGGAAGATACCATGAATATTGCTATTGCTAGAACTGTTAAATGAACGAGATAAAGATTGGTTAATTAAGAAAAGAGAGAGTGAAGAGATGAAGATGGAGAGAGAGAGAGAGGCGGTGAGAAGGTGAGAGAAGAAGAAGAAACGTGGCTGCCAAAGGAGTATTGTGAATTGACTCAACATGCAGTACATTCAATGACCCCAAATATGCTCCTCAAAATTTCGATTATCAAAATGTAAACCGCAATATCTATACCATCGTGTTTACAAAAGGAGGTTCTATTACAAGTCGACTTCGACACCACTTACTCTATTACAACATTCTCGATCAAAGGATTCCTATACGGAACATAAATAGAGATACCTCTCGACGAGACTAATCGGAGGCATACACGAGCTTTAACTCTTAGTATGAAAATTTAGGTTTAAGTCTTTCTTTTACCTGCGCATTAATATCAGAAAGGAGAAACGAGTAAGTCCGAATGACTTAGTGAAAAACATATGATCCATGAGTATGATGAGAATCAACAGAACAGAACATATAACGGGAGACTTTACAAGAATTTCATTAACAGAAGTGTAACATGTACAAGAGTGTAACATGTACGGCTTGAGATCAATATTTGGTGGGGTCTCCAACCTTGTAACTCCCAACAAATAAAATCATATCACATCCTTATCCCTCCAATCCGTCCCGAGTGGCCACTCGGTCGGAAACAGGCAGGAGGCACGACCGGAACGTGCCGATCCGGCTCAGGAACGTTTAACTCCAAACGAACGTGAGTCCGAACCATCAGGAGGTACCATTCGGGAGACCAGTCATCGTCAGCCCAATACTGCCCGATCGTCTTGCCGAAATGGTCCTAGGGCCCAGCTCCCCCAAGAGCGTCCTCAAGGGTGGGGACAGTAGGTTCAATAATCAATATCATTCCTTTTAGGAATATCAAGTCATTCATTTCAAGAATCAATTCAAGAATCAAGTCAATCATTCACAAGATAAGTCACGATCATGATAATTGAATATCACAGGATAATGAACATGTTCAGATTTCAATTCAAGTCAATGAAAGAATTGTCGTGAATATGGAATTCAAGAAGAACAATAAGTTCCATGCCAGGTTCCAAGAACGAGTATATCAAGATCTCGATATATTCAATAAACATGAGATTCAAGTTCGAGCCAACAAAATATTTATTCTCGGAAGGCATTCAAGACAAGATTTTGAGAATAAATATTATTCAATATCGATTCAAGGAAAATGTTCAGGCCAGGGAATCAAGTATAGGAATTAGCCGTGAACATAGCAACCAAAAGAATTGACAAGTTCAAGATTTCAAGAACAAGATCAAGGTTCCAAGTTCGAGCCAAGAAAACAGTATGCTCGCAAAACATTAAGGATCATATTTCAAGAACAAATATAATCAAGGTATCGAAGGCTTCAATATATACAAAATATTCGGTTCAAACAAAGGAGATATTAAGCGCAGGAAAGAAATCGGATAAGGAGTCATAGTTTCTCACCTGGAGTCCAACGCTAGTGCTATAGAAGTGCTATAGAAGCATCTTTAAGCTTAAACCTTGAGTCAGAGCTTTACTACGCTCAACACCTATGCAAATATTAGAACTAAATAAGATTCCAAACAGTAATATAGCCATATTACCATCCACTATATGACATAGTCAATTTCTTAAACATATACTAAGAATTGCTTCTCGTGGCACTCTATTCAAATAATCACTGTGATCGTCGTACTTATCCAAAGGACCTAAACGATATATATAGTTAAAGATAACATTTGTATCAACAAGTTTACTAAAGACACTAATCCCAAATTAACAACATAACCCGTCCATAACAACCCCGAAAGATGAACACATAAACCTGCCAGATTTTCGGATAATTTCGTTTACTGCCACAGCCCGTTTGAAAAATCATAACAAATTGTAAAGTTATCCAAATTGTCCAAATAATACATCAAATGAAACCTGACAACTTAATCTACAAGTTTCATGAAGACGCACAGCCCAAATTATGATCCCAACATATCGAAAACAGTCCCGCAAGAAGATACTCAAAACTGCCCTGTTTCCGGCAGATTACTGTCATCGGATTCCGACCTCTAAAACACGTATATTAAATACTCTAATTCGATACAATTGAACACTTACTTATAGTTTACGATGTCCTCTACGAGTTTCCTGAAGGAACCGATTCCAAATTCGCATTCGAAACCCTTCGATTTCGGCTCCGAAAACAGGTGCGGCAGCAGGTTTTGCTTCCCCAAAATCGCAGCGAGCAGGCTGACTTCTCACCAAACTCCGGCGACCAACGTCGGTGCAAGCCATCGAGCTTCGCCACCAACAGAAAGGTAACATCGTGAGGTTTCTAATGATGGGACCTGATCGTCGAGATTCTACCCTTAAGACCTCCGTTCAATTAATTCTTTGAACGACCAACCGCTGAAATTCGGGTTCTGGACTGCTCGTCTTCTTCGCCCGATTCCAGCCGCCACCGCGCGTCATCGTCGGTGAAATCCATCACCACAAGGAAGCTGCGTCTCGAGATTTCCAACGGCACCTCCCAATCAACGGAATTAAATCTCTAAGGGTGTCAGACCTAAACTTGGTTACACCAAACCCTCACTTGGAAACTTGATAATTCCGATTAATTTAGGTGATTCCAGCCAAGACTCCGCTAGAGAGAATGGCGGAGATAGAGAAAACGTGAGCAAGAGAGAGAGAGAGAAGAGAGGAAGATAGAGAGAAAGAGAGAGACGGTGAGGTAGATAGAGAGAAAGAGAGAGATGATGAGAGAGAGCGAGAGAGAGAAAGGAGTTTGGAGAAGAGGAGTGAAGTGTAGGAAGAATCGGATGAAGATGAAGAGGAAGTCTGACTCATCTTTTATTCTACGTGTCTCTCTCTCTAATTTTCTTGGTTAATAACATTCAATTATCCGATTACACAAGCCCCTCAATTGCTTAATGGCCAAGTTACTAAATTATAGAATTACACCACTCAACATGCAGTACATTCAATGACCCCAAATATGCTCCTCAAAATTTCAATGATCAAAACATTAAACCCCCAATATCTATACCATCGTGTTTACAAAAGGAGGTTCTATTACAAGTCTACTTCGACACCACTTACTCTATTACAAAATTCTCGATCAAAGGATTCCTATACGGAACATAAATAGAGATACCTCTCGACGAGACTAATCGGAGGCATACACGAGCTTTAACTTTTAGTATGAAAATTTAGGTCTAAGTCTTTCTTTTACCTGCGCATTAATATCAGAAAGGAGAAACGAATAAGTCCGAATGACTTAGTGAAAAACATATGATCCATGAGTATGATGAGAATCAACAGAACAGAACATATAACGAGAGACTTTACAGAATTTCATTAACAGAAGTGTAACATGTACAAGAGTGTAACATGCACGGCTTGAGTTCAATATTTGGTGGGGTCTCCAACCTTGTAACTCCCAACAAATAAAATCATATCACATCCTTGTCCCTCCACTCCGTCCCGAGTGGCCACTCGGTCGGAAACAAGCAAGAGGCACGACCGGAACGTGCCGATCCGGCTCAGGAACGTTTAACTCCAAACGAACGTGAGTCCGAACCATCAGGAGGTACCATTCGGGAGACCAGTCATCGTCAGCCCAATACTGCCCGATCGTCTTGCCGAAATGGTCCTAGGGCCCAGCTCCCCCAAGAGCGTCCTCAAGGGTGGGGACAGTAGGTTCAAGAATCAATATCATTCCTTTTAGGAATATCAAGTCATTCATTTCAAGAATCAATTCAAGAATTCACAAGATAAGTCGCGATCACGATAATTGAATATCAAGTCTCAGGATAATGAACATGTTCAGATTTCAATTCAAGCCAAGCCAATGAAGAATTGTCGTGAATATGGAATTCAAGAAGAACAATAAATTCCATGTCAGGTTCCAAGAACGAGTATATCAAGATCTCAATGAATTCAATAAACATGAGATTCAAGTTCAACAAAATATTTATTCTCGGAAGGCATTCAAGACAAGATTTTGAGAATAAATATAGTTCAATATCGATTCAAGGAAAATGTTCAGGCCAATGAATCAAGTATAGGAATTAGCCATGAACATAACAACCAAGAGAATTGACAAGTTCAAGATTTCAAGAACAAGATCAAGGTTCCAAGTTCGAGCCAAGAAAACAATATGCTCGCAGAACATTAAGGATCATATTTCAAGAACAAATATAATCAAGGTATCGAAGGCTTCAATATATACAAAATATTCGGTTCAAACAAAGGAGATATTATGCGCAGGAAAGAAATTGGATAAGGAGTCATAGTTTCTCACCTGGAGTCCAATGCTAGTTCTATAGGTGCATCTTTAAGCTTAAACCTTGAGTGAGAGCTTTAGTACGCTCGACACCTATAAACATATTCATCACTTAACAAGATTCCAAATGCTAATATAATCGTATTATTCTACTATATCACATAGTCAATTTCTTAAACATATACTAAGAATTGCTTCTCGCGACAATTTATTCAAATAATCACTGCGGAATTTCAATGAATAATCGGATAAATTCACTAGATAAATTCACTAGAATTTCAATTTCAGAGTTTTGCCTTTTCCGTAAATCAATTAAACGGAGGTCTTAAAGATGGAGCATCGATGATCCGAAGGTACCGTTCGAAACCTTAATAAGTTAGATTTCCAGTGGTGGTGGTTCTTGATTGTTTACATCAGCGGTGGTCATCGGAATTGGCTAGAACTTCAGCTCGCTCGTTGAAACGAAGGGAAGCAAATTCTGCTGCCGCACCTGTTTTCGGAGCCGAAATCGAAGGGTTTCGAATGCGAATTTGGAATCGGTTCCTTCAGGAAACTCGTAGAGGACATCGTAAACTATAAGTAAGTGTTCAATTGTATCGAATTAGTGTATTTAAAATACGTGTTTTAGAGGTCGGAATCCGATGACAGTAATCTGCCGGAAACAGGGCAGTTTTGAGTATCTTCTTGCGGGACTGTTTTCGATATGTTGGGATCATAATTTGGGCTCTGTGCCTTCATGAAACTTGTAGATTAAGTTGTAAGGTTTCATTTGATGTATTATTTGGACAATTTGGATAACTTTACAATTTGTTATGATTTTTCAAACGGGCTGTGGCAGTAAACGAAATTATCCGAAAATCTGGCAGGTTTATGTGTTCATCTTTCGGGGTTGTTATGGACGGGTTATGTTGTTAATTTGGGATTAGTGTCTTTAGTAAACTTGTTGATACAAATGTTATCTTTAACTATATATATCGTTTAGGTCCTTTGGATAAGTACGACGATCACAGTGATTATTTGAATAGAGTGCCACGAGAAGCAATTCTTAGTATATGTTTAAGAAATTGACTATGTCATATAGTGGATGGTAGTATGACTATATTACTGTTCGAAATCTTATTTAGTTCTAATATTTGCATAGGTGTTGAGCGTAGTAAAGCTCTCACTCAAGGTTTAAGCTTAAAGATGCTTCTATAGCACTTCTATAGCACTAGCGTTGGACTCCAGGTGAGAAACTATGACTCCTTATCCAATTTCTTTCCTGCGCTTAATATCTCCTTTGTTTGACCAAATATATTTTCC